GCATGCCAGGCGAGTGCGCTACCGCTTGAGCCACATCCCCAGCCCTATAATTTATTTTTTATGTGGTGCTGAGTATCGAACCCAGTGCCTCACATATGCAAGGCAAGAGCTCTATCACTGAACAATAACCCCAACCTTATTTTTTATTTTGTGACAGGGTCTCACTATGTTGCTTAGGGCCTAACTCATTTGCTGAGGCTCGCTGGAACTTGATATCCTCCTGCCTCAGCTTTCCAAGTCACTGGGATTACAGGCATGCACCACCACACCTGGCTCAGTGTCATGTTTTAAATGGTGGAAATGATAGGTACCTGAAATAAGCCTGGATTCGTGAAAAGTAGAACCTAAGAGATACTAAGAAAAACAGGAAAGCTTTAAGACTTCTTTATGCTCTAATACTTAGGAATTAAACATCAGTCAGGAATGAACTCACTAAAGTACTATCTCATCAAACCAAAACAAAAAAAAATGAAATTTTCTGTTGTTTTGTGAGAAACACTTCTAATAGAGATTAAATATTAACCAGAGATGAATATTCCTGCATTACTTAAATACACACTTAACCCTGACCTTAAGTGCTTGTTCTTAGTCCTTACTTTTAAAGAGTTGCCAGTAGTACCCTGGTGCTAGGTACTATCAGTTCTCTTTGGGATCCAGGTTAGCCTCAGAATTGCTGTGAGCATAGGTTACTCTCCCCATCATCTCTCAAAGCCATTACCAAGAGCTACTTTTGTAAAAATTTCTGTCAGTCTTCTACAGTGAAGGATAAGGGATGAAGGCTGTTAAAAATGGTAACTGAATACTGAGTTCGTACTTCTTTTCTAACCCGAAATAACTGTTTCTCCCAAATTATTAGCTCTCAACTTCTCATGAAAATAAGTAACCCCAAGGCGGGTGTTGTGGTGGATGCCTGTAATCCCAGTGGCTTGGAAGTTCATGGCCAGCCTCAGCAATTTAATGAGGCCCTAAACAATTTAGTGAGACCCTGTCTCAAAACATTAAAAGGGGGAAGGGATGGGGCTGGGGATGTGGCTCAAGCGGTAACACGCCCGTCTGGCATGCATGCGGCCTAGGTTCGATCCTCAGCACCACATACAAACAAAGATGTTGTGTCCACCGGGAACTAAAAAATAAAATATTAAAATTCTCTCTCTCTCAAAAAAAAAAGGG